CGATAGCAATTTACAGAGAGGAGGAATCACGTTTTGCGATATGAGGTAACGCACCTAGGGAAGGAAGCGACTCTCAACAACAGAAAAATGCAACTTAAAGACAAGAGGAAATGGCGATTACCTGTTGCTCATTTCCATTAATTGTCAAGTTTGAAATAGCCCATGCAGCCTCCTTTTGGGTGAGGAATTCACTATTAGCCAAGTGTCCAATAATCAGCGGCACAAGGTTATGATCAATAACTGCCTGAACTTGACTCTGATCGCCGGCGGTGATGTTAGATAGGAACCAAACAGCTTCCTTGTTGATCTTTTCTTTAGGATGATTCAAAAGCTGGGGAAAGTGACTTAGAGCACCGCAATCCAGAACAACTTGAGTTTGCTGGTCTGTGCCTGTCACTATGTTACCGACCGCGCGTAGAGCTGCTGTCTGCACTTTAAAGTTTGGATGGGACAAGAGCGGCACGAGATGAGGTACAATTTCGGCGTTAATTACCATGCTGATAAGATAGTTCCCACCATCGGTCAAATATGATATAGCCCATACAGTGTCGACCAGGATTTGCTAACGGATGAAAAAAGAAATGCATTAGAAAACAAAGATAGCATCCACCAAGGAGAATCAAATAAAAACTCACGCTATCAGCAGTGTTGGTGATCAGGTAGAGCAATGCTGGCAACAGCTCTTGTATTGTACCAACCGGTGGTGGAGGATTCTTGTTTCGACACAGGTTAACCATAACCCAAGTTATATTTCGTAAGAATGTGATGGAAATATTGGGAGTCAAAAGGTTCAGCAATGGTTTTATCAAGCCCTGTTCAATGACCAAATCACGAAGTTGTGGACCGTCGCCAATAATGTTACCCAATGCCCAAACAGCTTGCTCCGAAACATTCATGTGCGGAGATGATAGGAGCTTTAAAAAGTACGGCACAGCTCCCGCCTGGACAACGGCAGCAGTCTGCTTCGAGTTCCCCGACGCAATATTAGTCAACGCCCAAGCAGCCTCAAACTGCAGCGTAGGACTATCGGGAAAAAAGATAACCACATATAGCATAAACACCCGATGATCTCATTGATAAACGCAAAGTAAATTCTGGCTTTCCATTCTTTAGTCACACAATTTACATTAGCCAACGCAAAAAAGTCACCAACAAAAACCACTCAATTTCACCAAGAAACCAAAATCATCCAAATAACCAAGGCTTACTTCTCTGAATCTAAGCAGTTCACAAGCATTGGAAGCACATTGCAATTGATGAGCTCGTCAATTGGTGGGTGTCTGTCACTAGACAACAGCTTTCGAGCAGATTGTACAACGAGAAGACGAACAGCTGGATCCTCACTATTTGCATTCTCAACAATGTCAGGTAGATTCAGAAGAGGCGGTTTTTCAACAACCTCCACCTCAGCTTCCGCAGAGACATCGGCAGGAATATTCCT